TTAAAGTGTGTTATTTAAAAGCAACAAACTTATATTGTGATAACAAGACTGTCATACACATAGACGTTAATCCTATGTTTCATGAGAGAACCAAATATATTGAAATAGATTGTCACTTACTTAGAGACAAAGTACAATAAGGGAGTATAGTCATGAGGTATGTGAACAGCAAGCAACAACTAGTAGATATTTTCACTAAAACTCTATCTAGTTGGCTTCTCAAGGAGCATATGATCAAGATGGAAGCAGAAAACGTTCACTCTCCATCTTGACGGGGGATGTTATCAGGCATGTATAAAGCAAGTCGATCCAACCCACACCAAAATGCATTGTTTCACTAAAAGGTGATCCAATGCGTTCAGGCTCAGCTGAGCTTGGAGACAAAATGGGTATTTAAACTTGTCTTCTTCCCCGTGCAGACCTACTCTGCTCTCCTCTCTATTGCTGCCGACACAGCACCAAAATCCTCCATTTTTTTCTCTGTTTCTAGCATTTCTCCTTATCTTTCTTGCAGGTAAAGGAGTGCCCACTTCATTTAACCATTGCAGCGAAAAGTTTCATCTCAGTTGTCTTATTTCTGCACCCTCCACTATTGCTAAACACCACCTGCGCAAATCTAATATTTCCCTTATTTTTACCTATTATTTTTTACATATATCATTAGTTTTGGATAGCTTGATCAACGAATATCATTTTATTTTAATAGTTGCTCATATACAACCTACCTCCAAGGATACTCTCTATACTACTAAAGATTGTATTGTCTCTAGATAGGTCTGAACTAACGATATTGATGTATGTCTTATTGACAACTTCTTTTCTCTTCCTTTTGATAGGTAGCTCAAGTAGAATCTGTAGAGTGATGTCTCTACCCACAAAATGGCAAAACGGAAGGCTATTTTTGTTATTATGGCTTGAACTGGCATGCATATAATGAATTCATTCACAGTGATGCTCAAAAAACTAAAATCCTCAATAGGTGTGAGATCATTCAGATAGCTTTGGAAGCCCAAAAGAGTTACAACAAAAATGAGTCAACCGACTTCCCTAGGCATTGTGGAAAGCACTTGGATGTTGGCTGGAGGGCCCCTATTTGGAATGGATCAAAACCAATACAAATGGTTCTATTAGGAGTATGAATGGGCATTCTTCAACTGACGACCTGCTAAAAAACAATAAAGATAACCAGATCACAGATTTTTTTAACTAATACAGGCTCTTATTACCTTGTGCAGGTTGAGGTCTAACTTCCTTGATAGGTTTTCAAAAAGCATGGGACTCCATTACAGTAACATTATCATTGAAATTGACTGCTTATACCTGAAGCTTCATTTTGAGAAGTTTGCTCACATTAAAGGTTTGCACTATGTGGACTAGGCTAGGCTCTTCAACCTCTTGAGGAGAGTTTAGAACATTAAAGCTTCTCACGTACATAGGGAGGGAAATCCTATGTGATCGTCTTGCTTTTCTAGCTCATTTGGCTCGAGTGGCACCATCAAAATTTTCCATGCACAAAGGAGTTAGACTAACTTCTCATATTAAATATCTAAGACGATGCACGGACATGCATAATGAATCACTAGTGTCTCGCTCTCCTGTGTGCTTTCTTTTCTCCCTTTGGCTTTAAAAAAAAAAGTCAATCTTATAAAAATATATATAATTTAAAATATTTTATTTTAATTTTATATAATTTCTATATAAACTCAATTCTTATAATTTCAAATAAAAATCTTATCATTTTTGAATTAAATAAATCCATAAATGGATTTATTCCAAAAATTACCTTCATTTAGACTAATCTTTAACTTTCTAATTTAACACTTTACAATTTTTTTTTTAAGAATATGTTAGTTGTTTTTAATTCATTGTACTAATCACCATCCACATATCTACTTTCTCCTCTGCACTCACCACTTCTCTGCCAAACAACCGCATAATAACATAATCTGCAAATGGTTTGACTAGAGATAGAGGGAGAGAATAATTGAGAAAAAAGATGAGCTTAAAATGACTAAAATGTCCTTTTAAGGAAAGACTTTCTGGATCCTTTGTGGGCCAAGGCACAAGACCGTTTCAAAGATATATCGTCATCTGGGAGGCTCTTCTATATTGATTTCTGTTTGTGTTAGTTTTCCTTGTATTTTTACTCCTTGTTTATCCTCATTTTTTCTATTTGTTTTCTCTCTTATCGTCAATAGTATTTCTTCTCCTTAAAAATATAGAAATCAATTTTTAAATTAAAAATTAAAGATCAATTAATAAAAACATAAAAATACAAGATAAATGTATGGAAGTTACCCGAACATATGGCAACCTTATTAATGGGAAGGGCATAATAGCCTTTGGATTTTTTTTTTGTGATAAAATTTCTCACTCTACAAAAATAAGTGAAATAAATGTTTATTGTATCTCTATTCAAGTTATAACGTGCACATAAATCATAAGTTTATGGTAAAACAGAGCTGGTAAATTGAGAATGAAATCAACCCAACTAAAAAATGACAAGTAATTATTTAACAGCTTCTAATCGGAATATTTTAATTACAAACCAGAAAGACAAATTTACTTATCGCATAGCTTATACTCCGAAAAAATCCTCTGAGAGCCTTTTCTATTTAATTGTAAATCACGAACTTATGAGCCAACTATTCTAAAACAACTGCTCATTAAGCTCATTTTTTAACCAAACCAGCTTATAAAATTATTTTACCAGAAAAATAAATGAAACCAAACAACCTATCTGTTCAAGGAAGAAAGAAACACAGAACCCTGTTCAAGAAAGAAAAAACAAATCTCTCTTTTATTTCCAACTATTTTTCTCTCCCAAAACTAACTCTTCTGGCCAGGGTTGCATGAGCATCCAACGAAGCCAAATTGAGGAAAGAGATAAACAAAGGAATGGGTGAGGTAAGCTGAAAATTTCAGTAGCCAAAACAATTTACAACACACAAAAGCTTAATCTAAGTAATCAGCATCTCCATCATAAATCTTTTATCGTCTTACAGAAAAGAATTGCATGCTGACATGTTCAATAAATAAAATAATCAACCTGTAATAATACCAGCTAAAACATCGCTTTTACCACGTGCATAAACTGTGTAAAGTAGGCGGATTGCATCAAGCCATCCATCCAGGTATTCCCATGACTCAGCAACCTGAAAGATCAACAAGAGAAATATGACTCCAAAACATGAATGCAACTTGAACAAACGCTCCGAGCTTCTATCAGGAAACAAGACCCAATTTTCCAGTGATTATTATAATTTGTTGAAAATCACTATAAACAGGATCTGTAATATTTGTTCTGACCTCCCTGATTATCTAGCAATCAACCTTCAGGAAGGAAATCATCATAATCTTTTGTAGTTAGATCATTACAGAGCATGGTGAAAAATAAATTAATTAAACACTAAGTAGAAGGTAAATTAAATAAGCAAACAAATTAAAATATACTGTCATTCTTCAAAAACAAAACTAACTCTAAATCCAGTTGTCCATCATGGAAAATTTCCAAATTAAATATAAAAGAGTATCCAAATATGAGTTGCTTTATATTAATTCCCATCCAATGAAATAAAACATGCATGTTCAAAAAAGTGAAGGCCCACAAAGTAGCCCAGACAGTTCCTTGCGAAACAAAAAGTTCGTACAGAAAATTATTTATTCTACGCAAATGCTAGCATCATATAAGTAAAGGATAAATTGTGGTAATGAGTTAAATGTAATTCGGTTATCTTCAAAATTATTTCAAGGAGGCATCAGAGACAATCTAGGTAGACCAAGCAAAGATGAGTAAGGATAGACCAAGATGACATGAATTTAGTCATGGACATGCTTTCTGCAACTAGAAGGCTGGAGGAAAGGACCCAAATAGCAGAGCTAACTAGCTCCAGGTAAAAGCCAAAATTAATTTTTGGAACATAATAACACATAGAACAAATGACTTCTTCCACTTGACAGGAAATGCCAATTACCAGAGGAACTGCAAGCATATTTAGGCTTCATTTCATCATGCTTAGAAAAAAAGTCGCCATTGAAAAAAGGATTACTTTTATTTGATAATTTATCTTGCATAAAATGTAGTTCAAGATGTTCCTAATTTGTGTCTTGGGCAATAAATATTGCTTCTGAAGATATTGTTAAATATAATATAGATATATTGCATATTCAAAAAAATAATAATAATAATAATAATATAGATATATTGCATGTAAGGGTATATCTGGATGAAGAGGAATGGATCAGAATGAGCTGAGGGAAAAGAAAATCATATTTTTCCTTATTAAGGAGTTTGAGACATACTTAGGAAAGAAAGGGAATAAGGAATAAATTTTATCCTTTCATCCCCATCAATTGTCACATTTTTAATTCCTCCAGACAAAAGAGAAAAAAGATATTGTAAAATACATAAGGACAAATCTACCCTTGATGTATGCTTTGGGATAGCATTTTTACAAAACTTAAGCCAACCCGCCCACACCCGACCAGTATTTTTTTAACCGGCCAACAGGTTCAGATCAAGTTGGATTCGGATTGTCTGGAATAATAGATTGACTCAGAGCAGAATCAGGTTTGGCATATGCCAAAACCCCACCCAAACCCGACTTGTCTATATATATATATATGATACTATACACGCACCAAAGAAACCTTGAGTTTTTTCAGCATCTTTTACCAAAACAATCATCCACCTCGCTAGCTCCTCATCCTCTTCGCCTTTGACAGCACCAGCTCCACTTTCTCTTCGCCTTCAAAGCGCCAACTCCAGCTTGACTGCACATCTGCATTTGCTCCTCTGTCTTAATTTTGTGTGCATCATCAAATACGAAGCAGATATGAGTGGCATAACCCATAAATCCAGTACGGCCCCAAAAAGTTCCGAAAAAACAAATCTGTTTTGGGTTCTGTAAGGATTCGGTTCATGCAATATGCAAAAGGGGGTTGGATTTGGATTTGGCCTGATCTGCCCCCTTTCCATCTCTACATATGCTAAATCTTCACAGAAGTTGTATCACACTTTGAGACCCAAGAACTGTGTCTAGGTCCTGGAAAACATGCCCCTGGTCCCCAAACCTCCTGGGGCCACCCAAGATTCCTGGACCACCCCCGAACCCTAAGTTTTGAGAACGAGCCTAGGTCTGAGAATGCACTCGGGTCCAAAACCACCTGTGAATTGTGGGAACGTACACTGCCCCATCCAGGGTGGGGCAATTTTTCCTTTCAAAAAATGAATTCAGGGTAGGATTGGGCAAGTGATGAAAGAAACACATCTGGAACAGGGTACATTTGGGTTATGCAATAACATTACCTGCCTCAAATATATATATAAATTTATATAATTTCTACATTTATTTTTACATATTCATACACATTCATATTTGTATTTCTATATATTCTTTTTGTCTATGCACATTCGCATGTAAATTTTGGTACTTGTATATATACATACACATTTGACTATTTGGTGCAAAGCACGGAATTAAGTTCCCCAGACAAGGCAGGTTAAGAGACAAATAATTCATCCCCAGATAGGGGAACCAAGTCTGCTTCTGCATTTCTCAAGCAAGCTTAGGTCCACAGACCATGCCTAGATCTTCGGAATGCATCCAATTCATGTCTGAGTCCCAAAAACGTACTCAGATCCCCAAGTTGCTCTTGTATCCCCAAATCTCCTCCAGATCTCCAGACAGCTCACAGGTCCTGAGAATGCCCCTGGGCCCCAGAACTCAACTTGAATCCACTTCAATAACATGAAAGCGCCTGATTTCTAATAATGTTACCATCTCTCTTGGACATGTTGAGTCCTCAGGATATCACCCAAGTACTAAGAATGCTCAAGTCCCCTGATCATGGCTAAGTTTCAAGAATGCACCAAGAATGCACTAAAATCTCTAGACCACCTCTGGAACCTAGGACTATATCCAGTGGATATGAGAATCCAAACCACGCCATCCGTGTTAGGTACAGTTTTTTCCTTCAAAAAAAGAATTCAGGGTAGGACAAGATGAGTGTGAAAGAATTATAATTGAGACAGGGTAGGTTCACATCCTTTTGTTATTCACATTGACCGATAAATCTCAGTTCTTGCATTTAGATATATATATATATACACACATACTCGCATACGTAAAGTTAAAATATTTGGTGCCAAGTGGGGAATGAAACGAACAGGACAGAGCATAAATATTCATTCCAAAACCACCAACAGAGTAAAAATATTAACATGCTGGACAAAGGCAAGGCGAGTGAAATCTGGCTCAAACCCATCAAGTTGACATCACTACAAACTGCACCCAATTCCCAAAAAACACAGATAAGCTCCAATGCCTACAAGTACCTAGATCACCATTGAGGTCCGGATTCTACTCCAGGGTCCCGAGTATATCTCTAGGTCTCGCTAGCAAACTTAGGTCCCTAGCTCACACCCAGATTTTGGATATGCTCAAACCCCTAAAATGCCCTCAGATCCCCAAGCCACCTCCAGATATGCAGATCAATCATGGATCCCAAGTAAACCCAAGCCCAAAAACTCAATACAAATCCCGAAACTACCTCCAGGTATAGAGAACATGCCAGAGTCCAATAACCTGACCATGTCTCTAGAAAACGCCAGATACTGAGTTGATTCCTAGAACACCATTGGGGTCCTAGGAATGCATTGACTCTTGGAATGACAAAAGTTCAAGGTTCGTGCCCAGGTCCCAAGAACATTCCAAGGCTTCTGCTTGATAATAAGATACAAACAAATTATGCAAATTTTAAGTATTACTATTTATTTATTTCATGATCTATATAATATTTCATGATCTATACAACTTATTTTAATAAATATTTTCTAAACATTTGCAATTCTTTATTGTTCAAAAAGGCAATACATAAGTTTTCTTTTATAAATTATTATATATAGCACTTAGGTAGATGAAACCATAAAAGACAAAAGGGTTTTACAACGGTAGAACCAAACATTTTCGTTCTGTTTCTACTAAAAAACAAACAATATTTTCATTTATTTTTTTTCTATTTCTTTTACGTATTCTTTTAGCATCCAAACAAGGAAAAATAATATACTACTTTTTCTTTTCTTTTCTGCCCCCTCCATTTCTTCTCTTTTCTCTTCCCTCACAGCTTCCAAAAAAGAGGAAAGAAATTTAATTTTTAGAAAATAAAATATATTTATCTATCTTCTCTGATTGAATGATTATTAATATATTTTGAAAAGAAAAAAAAATTCATAAATTGTCTGTCTTGTTTTATGTGTTTATTTTTTAGGAAACCTAGGTTGCTTTTATATTATAAGGTTTCTGTATCCATCCAAAAACCTTCACATAGAGAAATGGTTCATAGAAAAGCACAAACATGAATCTTACCAGGAAAATTGGCCCATGAATTGTATCAATGCAGAGACCAGCACCAGGTGGTAAAGTCAAATCAGCACATGCGGAGACAGAAACAATATCGGGAATATTGACTTTGATAGTCTTTTTATCACTATTCATATCTCCTGATCTGCCAGAGAGGCTTTGGGAAATTTGATTTTGTTCAGATTTGTTCACCTGTGCAGGGCATAAAGATTCAGAAGGAAATCACAGAAGAAGGAAAGGTATACCTAGGTACCAGTTAATTTAGCGTGCAGAAGAATACCTGTTGAAGCTTTTCATGATTCAAACTAAACTCGGATTGCTTCCAATCACTATGAGGTGCAAGCAGATTGCCTACAGGTGGTGCAGTCAAATATCCAAGTTTAAGATGGGGAAGGGGCAACTGCCACAAAATCACCGCCCAATTTTGTTAATAAGGACTTTTCCAACCAATTACAACAAAACATACATAAAAAATGTGTTATTATTGAGCTGAACGATTGAATTCTAAACTGACATTGCAACAGCAAAGTTAGTTGTGCTGATGGATTGTAATTTTGCCTGCTAGACAAAGAATGAAATCTTCATCAACTATGTTCATATGCTAGCCAAATGTTCAAATGAATACAATGGTTGGTTTCCCTTTTTATCAAGGACTATGTTATGGACCCTACTTTAGGATCCTGTTAACAGATATTGATTAATAGTATAAGCTCATTAAAAAAGAGAATCCAAAGAGCACTTAGAGTTTAAAGGACTTAATAAACTTATCAGTAATTTTATGGCTATATTATTCCCTCCAGGACAGCCTTGTGTACACAATACATGCTAATTGCCTTAAGGACAGTAACTACCTCCTTAATAATCGAATAAACGATCACATAGTTTTCGAGCATAAAACTGAACATAAACTGAAAAGTTTTGTAACTATTAACTACTTTCAAAAAAGTAAAATAACTAGAAAATAAAATACTTAGCAATTTGACCAAGTCTTCCTCCACTTCTCATGTGGAAAACCTTTCATAAACTAGAACCCTTGAATCTGATGTAGACTTTTCAGGACTCATAACAGTACTCTCCCCCTCCAGAACCGCTTGTCCCTCAAGCACAAAATGCAGATAGCGATGAGCTAAATGATCAGTAGCCTCCCAAGAAGCATCTTTAGGAGGCAACCCTTCCTAGTAAACCAAACTTCTTTTTTTTTTGTTCTTTGAAACAGTGAACCAAACTTCTCTTTATCCAGCCCAAACACGAAAATATAAAATAGCTGCTGAGTAGGAATGGAAAAATGTAGCAGTCAAAGTAGGTGGCAAATCCAATGGTCCTATGAATCACTAGGAGTCAAATCTTGAGGGTCATTCAACTTGCTAAAAGTAGTAGATGCAGCAATGATGGATCTCTATCCACTGTTTGTGATGCGGTAGATAAGTTTCTTGGTCAACTCCACCTAGATTCCCTCAGACCATGAAAGTGTAATTGCTGCCAACTTTTAATAAAAATCGTACACATGACAGTAAACTATCAATCTAGAGTTGTCAACAAGGGACACCTAGATTTGCACCCAACCTTAGAAGGTTAAAAATGAATAAAACAATCAAAAAGATTGAAGTACTAGAAAGGCAAGGAACTAGTCTGTAACTTCTTTACACACAACTGTCTCATTAATTTTTCTTTCGCCATCCTCAATCTGGTGAAGGCAAACAGTCCCAGGGTACTGAAACCTTCAAGGTAGGAAGCTCTTCTAGAAATTCGCAAAGCAAACTCATCCCTCCATGTGCATTGTTATGAAGATCAAACTCCTCTTATAGAATGGGGATTGTAGCCTCCTTTGCATCAACTGGGACCAATTCCTCCTCTCATTCTTCACCATCAAACCTATCAGCCACAATCTCTAGCCAAAATCTTACATGAACTAGATTTAGGGTGAAAATCCAACACCACTAAAGGAATTGAAAAAGGCGTGGCACATGGGCATATCTGGATGGTCTGCTCATTAATGGGATTATGCCTGATTCTAAGAGTATGCATATGGTTATATTAGGTTCAACAGACTCCTCGAGAAAATTTTCCCAGTGTATGTTACTTCTTGATCTGTCTACACCTATTGAATTGCTAAAGGTTGATGATGTTTGCTAGTTCATAGGCATCTATCTGCTCTTCTTCCTCCGTGGATATGACACATTTTGGGACAGCAGTGACCCATGATAAACATCAATTCGACCAATTCCTCGTATCTTTCTTCACCATCAAACTCAGCCACAATCTCTAGCCAAAATCCAACACCGCCAACGAATCAAAAAAGGCACACTGATCTAAGAAAAGCACATGGGCATATATCTGGACAGTCTGATCATCATTCGGATTGTCTGATTCTAAGAGAATGCATATGGTTACATTAGGTTCAACAGACTCAAGGAAATTCTCATGGTGAATGATACTTCTTGATCCATCTACGCCGATTGATTTCTCATGAAATTCCCCTGGATTGGTGATGCTTGCTGGTGTGTAGGCATCTATATGCTCTTCTTCCTCCGCAGATTGAACAAATTTTGTCACAGCAGTTACTCAGGATAAACATCTTTTGGCAGTTGAAGCAAAGACCCTTGAGTCTGTTGCCTTCAAGTTCTGCCTCAAACAATCACTTTCAATTCACAGTTAACAAACTTGCCCAACTGCAAATTCCTCAGATTGTGGAACATCATCCACTGAACCCACTTGGGGAAGTTGCACTAATTCTGCCAAGTCCTTTTCGCACCACTGCTTCTGTAGCCAACATCTCTTCTGACTTCGGAACGACCAGACAATTCTATAAATAATAGTTCCAGACAACTTACTCAGGTAGCAAAGTGGTCCAGTCTCACTCCCACTCAAGTTCTTCCTGTGCTCAATCCTCCTGGTACAATTTTAGGAAATTCTAAAATTTTTGCCTGAGAGATCGTAGATCACCCATAATGGTAAGACTTTGGTACCAAATGTTATGGCCTCTACTTTAGGACCTTGTTCTGAGATTCTGATTAATAGTATATGCTCATAATTACAGAAACCAAAAATCTTCTAGATTTTAAGTACTCAAAAAATCTTATTGATAATTCTCTGCCAATATTTCCCTCGGAACAGCCTTAACACTATAAGATAACTGCTTCTCCTCAAGGATATTTAATACCTCCTTAAAAATAAGATAACTGATGGCAGTTTTCAAACATAAAACTGAACATAAACTGACAGATGTAGTAACTACAAACTACTTTCAGATACATAAATAATTAGAAAATAAAATACTTAACATTTTCACTAACTTTCCTACACTTCCCATGTGAAAATATTTTTAACACCTTGACCCGTAAACCCAACGTAGACTCTTGGGGACTCATTAACAGAACACTAATAATGAAACAACAGTTTCTCAGGCCAGATTACAGTTTCGAACTATTTATATTCAGATTCATCAAAGAGAACAATTGTTTAATTTTAAGGAACTACAGTCTAACTAATACAGAAAAATCAATTAAATTAAGCAAAAAAGAGAAACAACAGGGTTGTAACAAAATGAATTTTAAGAGAAATTAGACATTTTAGAATACAATAAAATGAATGTTAATAAAAGCAAGCACTGACCATGGATCGCACAACACCCAACGCACTGCTGTAAACCTGAAAAGTTTGAAGCATCAAAGTAGATATTGTCATGAAAGAAAATGTGAGGGAGTGGGGTAATGCATTCCTCACCAACAACTAACTAAGTGGGAATCTTTAGAAGGTATCTGAAGGAAGATTTTAAAAAAATGAAACTATAAGAAGAAAGTACATTTTCAAACTGCAAAATCTAAAAATAAACTGCAGAAGCTGATAGAAGGAAACATCAGATACAGCACTTACAGAGTAACTTGGTTTTAATGCATGGGCAAATGCAATGTACATAGCAGATTGGCTATACAACTCGCTAGGAGAGAGTTCTTTAGTATTGCCTGAACCCCCAGTTCTTAGTGTGTCTTCTGCTAGTCCATACTACATAATAGCATATTGCAATGAGGAGATATGTGTCACTTCAACTAAAAGCAAAACATCATAAACATGGTCTAGCCTCAACAGTCAGCCCTCTCCAAAGAGTGGCCGGTGAGTTCCTTGTGGTTTCTAATCCCACAAATAACAAGAAAAGGTTTATCTCAACCTCCAAAAGTAATATCACAGATTTGCAACTGACCAGAACAGTTCCAAGGTTGTAAATTGCTCGATGGAAATCAAACTGCAACCTTATTGCTGCACGGAACTGCATTATAAAGTCAGTGGAAGTATAAGAAAGAAAGACATTACCAGAAAAAATCTAAGAATACATCAGATGCCAAGTATGCTGCTCTTGCCTATATATTAATGCAACCACTGGTATCACCAATGATTTGTGTACCTTACTAATTGCAGTTTTCACAATAGTTTGCTTTTCTCGTGCCGGAACAATTCCACTGAGTTCCTAAATTGTACAACAGAAACTAAAATCACATTTGACTTCATATCATTGTCACACATACGAAAAAGTAAAAACTGACAAAAATTACTAAACAAGGCTCTCCAAAGTTATTCTCATAATTTAATCGTAAATAGAATAAAATGCATTTGAGTAATTCTAAAAGAAATTTAGTTTAACTCAAAGTACCTGGAGTGCAAGACCCCAGTTGTTGAGCGCCTGTAATGAATTTTACATGGAAGTTGAATCACACCACAAAAAAGAAAATATTACAAAAGGAGTACTGGTGCAAAAAAGATATTAGTGAATAGACTTCAGATGAAGTTACAAAAGACGCCAATATAGTTTTTGGTGTACCTGGGGACTGTTCCAGTTTAGCTGGATGGCCTTTTCATAGTTTTTTGTTGCCTGAAATCAGATAAACTTTTTCAACACTAGGTTAATATAAAAGAGTTGGGATATGAACAGAATAACATATCTACACATGATATTGATTCCTAAAACGCAACCTCCCCTAGTTTAGAAGAACAATACAGAAGAAGAAAAACAAATCTGAATTTAGCATGACAAACCTCTCTAGATATCATAAAGGTCGCCCCTGGTACCAAAACATATGGGATTTGGCAATATAGCAATATGTTTCTTTTTCATAATGTAACCTTTATTCCATTAATTATATTCATATCCAGCAGTAAGTACCCTATTTGATAGCAGCCCAATTTCTATTAGACAAATAAAACATAAGCCATGTGTTTTCTGATAAATAGGTGCAGAAAAATAGCATGACTGAACTCCAAAATCATACACTCAAACCTGCTTCCACAGATCTTCAGCCTCCTTTGTACGACCTCGCATTTTTGCTCTATCTGAGATTGCTATTGCCCAATTGTAGAAAGCCTATCAAGGGACAAAATAGATTACAATGTGATAGGGATCATAATAGATCACTATACAAACATATCCACTAACATTATTAACTTAGAAAATTAGGCTATTTTAACAATTTGTATAAGGTAGGGTCGTTTAATAGGAAAGTGTACCATAGCACACTGGTGTATAGTAGGGTACAGGTAGCAGTTTATGTCACCAGTGTCTAACAAGTAGTGTCTACACAAGGAAATAACAATTTCACTCCTAAACCCAAACTTGACCCATTTACCAATTGGGTTTTTATTTCCAAATCCAAATCCAACCTATTTATAACCGAATCAACCTGTTTAAACTCGTTTGTACCCATTTATCTATCAAGTTAAGTTATATGCTAACTAACTCAAAAATCAATTTAAGACATTGAACATATTTGTAAAATGATTAATATGCTTTAGTCATTTCAAATCATAATCAACATATATTATTTTATTTGAAATAATATTATAATTTCATATAACCATGAAAATACCAACATCAAATTTAATTCCCAAAAGATAAATTACATAAACAGTATACTAATAATATCAAATGATTTTTTTAGTAAAGTATATCGAACTTACCATTTGCTTTCCTATGAATAAAATATTAGTTCCTCAAAATCAATTTAATGCATTTAACCTATTTGTAAAATAATTAAGGAACATTACTAATACCCCCCTATACTATCAGCACATTAACAAAAAAAAACTCTTTTTAATTGGGAAAACTACTTTCCTATATGTACGTAACAATATAGAGTAGTATGGTACAGTTTAAATTTTGCACAAAGTAGAATGCTACTTAAAACCAATTAAAACCAGATAAATTGATCAAAACCAATAATACAAAAACTGGTAAAAGCAGAATGACTGATACAAATACAGATTTAGTTAAGTTAAAAAACTAAAAGTAAAATAAAATTATTATTAAAAATTAAAAACTCAAACCGAAAATGATATTGTGATATTATTGTCGAAAGAAATACGATTAGGGAGAATATGAATGGGAGAATAGTGAACTATTATTATACTATAACTGCAAGAAAAGAAAAATATGATAATAATAGTGTAGCTATAATATAAAAAGGTGCAAATTACATTTTTATCCTTCATTTGTTTAAAGTTAAACAAAGTTAGTTAAGAGAGGTTCCATTGTCACACCAGCAAAATATGGGTTCGTAATTTTCCCAATTAAAAAGACATGGGGGCATTTGTTACAGTGTTGATAGAGATGTATTAGCAACTTTGCGAAGTAACTAATATGTTTTTAGTCATTTCAAATAATAATTGACATGCTTAATAGATTATTTATTTAGAATAATATTATAATTTCAGAATAACCATGAAAATATAAACATCACATTTAATTCCAAAATAAATAGATTACTTTAGTAATATGAATATTGAGTTTTTTTTTCCATAAAAGAAGAATTTATTAAGACGAAGAGAAGAAAATACAAGATAGGAGAATGACACATCCTAAAAAATGAAATACAAAAAAAGTAAATCCATCAAAAGCAGCAGAAACAACCAACACGAAAAGCTAACAGTCACGAATAATAATATCCCAATTGCTTATTTCAAAAAAAAAAATTGATATCCCAATTGCATTGAAGATCAGAGATGCTAAGGTCCTTGTAGCAGCCATGTCCTGTAATCCACAAGTAGGTCAAAAAAATCACCCTATTTCACAACTCGGAGTATGGAGTGTTTCTATTATTATAGACTCCCGAGTTACGAGCAAGCCAAAAACACCAGAGACCAGCAAATAATAATCCCTTCCACAAGGGCTTAGCATATGGATATTGAATATATATCAATATATATTAATAATGTTAGGACTTTGATGAATAAATATAGAGAAGTTACTATTTATTGCATAACTAGTTTAATATATTTCAAACCTTTATGCTATAAAATGGATTCAATCATGTTGCTAAGTGGCTTGTTTACTATTTAGGCACTTTTATTGTGGTGTCTAAACAAATTTCACTTGGTTTATGACCCAAACTCATTACACCATACCCAAACCTAAATGCCACTTAACCTTTTTTTAATAGGAAAAGAAGTATTATCAAGAAAAGAAAGAAGAATACATGCACAGAGAATAAGAAATCGCTACTTTTGCCCATGAACTACAGATATCCAGAATGCCACTCCCCAGGTGGGACAGTTTTCCTTTGCCAAGAAACAAATTCGGGGCAGACGGGTTTGGGTAGTGCTACATATTTCCCCCTTTGAACCGCCCCATTTATACATATATATTTACGAATTAAATAAAAAATATAAATATATTCTTATATAGTCTTTTCAGTTTATATGTCATATTTATTTATTACTTTTATATTTTAACAAAATGGGTGGTTTAGTGCAGATAAGGAATTAAATTCCCAGATAAGACAAGGACAAGGAGAAAAGCTTTCATATATGTGCTGGATACAGAACAGACACGGCACGTGGATAATAACGGACAGGGCAGGGACGAGGTGGGAAAACCCACACTGTTGTCATCTCTAAACGAATTGCATAAACTTGTTATGTCAAATTTTGAGAGCCCCAGGGTAACTTAGCTAATTTAGTTAGTGTTCAGGAACAGGGCCGAGGTTGAGTAGTAATCTCAATCAAGATAGGATAGTATTTGCTAGTACATGACTAGATGACCGTAAAGGTCATGAGAAGACAACCAAATGACTTTGAGGGTCACACAGCAACAACCAAGAGGACCCAGAAATTGCAAAAAACATGGCCTAAAGGCTGTGAAGGCCTAGCAATCAAGCTAGATACCTGCCAGATCAAAATATGGTTATTCAGTAACTGGTATATGACATAACAATGTTTTCCAACATTTTTTTGCTGAGGTCGGACAGTGTTCTAGCAGTTTCCAATGACAGTGTAGTAAAGCTTTGGAAGTTTATTGGGGTAGTAACAATGTTTTCCAACATTTTTTTGCTGAGGTTGGACAGTGTTCTAGCAGTTTCCAATGACAGTGTAGTAAAGCTTTGGAAGTTTATTGGGGTAGTGTTGGAACGATTTTCAAATACTGTGTTATTTTGTAATTAGTGTCATTAGGAGGGATAAATTTGGAAGAAAAATGTCCCAAATGAGCATTGAAGTAATTTTGTTAGATAGAGATGGACTCCCACCCTAACTAGTTTACCACTCTTGGTAAGATAGAGTTCCTCTACCTGAGTCAATTTTAAATACCAAACACTGACTAAAGTAGGATAAAGCTTCAGACTTCCTTACCTTTCCCCACTTAGTATACTAAATGTGGCTTTAGACTGCCATGTAAATGTCTGTACAAATTAGAAGAAGCAACCAGGCAGGAATCACTCAAAAGCAAATGTAAAACAGGCCCTTCCCCAGATTTCTTAATCTTTATAACCTGCAATACTGTCCTATTTAATCCTCATGTTGCACCAGGAAATCTGAAATTCTTAAGTACTGCAGGTCTAGCATACGACTTGCAGCAAAAGTTCTAAGCATTCTGTTTTCAATCTATTACCTGGCTTATGTACTGTATTTGCACTGTATTGTCACTTCAATATGACCAGTTAATAAGGTATAAAACACAGCTCTCCATGAGATAGATGTACATACATCGTGAAGTGTAGGGCAAAGACGAGTTGCCTCATCATACTTTTTACAAGCCTCCTCAAGCAACGCATCTTTTGAAGGTGTAGTAGAATCCGTACTAACAATGTCTGCACTTTCCTGCCAAGGGAAAATGTGGATCACGTCAATACAATATATGGGAACATGATCTATGTGAAATTGTTTCAGTTTTGGAAAAGAATCAAATTATGATACTGCCTCAAAACACTGGAAAGCTGTCCAATAAATTTTAGGCTCTTCAGAAAATCATTATACATGAGTAAATGTGACTGCATAGTAGAAAAAAATCTTTTCAAGCAATAGACTATGACATAGAAACAAGAGAGCAGCTAAGATGAACTTTAGAAAGCATATGACAAGAAAACTCAATTCAGCCAAGCCTTTTCCCAGTTACAGCATATGACACATAAGAGGCAAAATTTCAAGCAGAAAAGATATCCATCCTCCAATCAAGAACTCTCTATGCTTCAATACTTATGATAATCACCTTTATTTTTCTAAAAGAATTAAAAAAAAAAAAGAAGATACAAGTTTCTCTACTTATATTCCCAATAATTGGAACTCTACTAGCCCAAATCCCAACCTTTCTTTCCTTTTCAATTTACTTTTGCTTTTTATTTTCGCTGTAAATGACAGTGCTACACAAACATCAAACGCCTGATTCGTAAGAATAGTTCTAAAAATGAGAAAAAAAAAAAATCTTTCATGAAAGAGCTTTCTTCTCACAAACTTGTCTCCACATAACAAAATCCACACAAAAACATAAAATGGTCAAAATGAAAAGTTGTTTCAGACCTGAAGAACCAGTGCCCAGTTGTACAGGGCATCATAATCTTCTGGGTTTCTCTCTATTGCACTAGAATACCTACAGGGTTCCAGAGGAAATTAGTGTTAAATCTTTAAAAACAAAAAGAAAAAAAAGCAGAAAATTTGATTCTAAGTAGCTGGGTTTGACTTTTTCCTCCTTTTCTTTCTAATGTTTGGATGTGAAAAACAGGAAACCCAGTTAAAAAATCTATTAAGTTTGAATCCAAAGTTTACATCTTACACAAATTTCTTGATGATACTGCAAATGAAAACAACTCGACTTTTTCCTTTAACTGATTGAAATCACACAATTGAATGGAATGACCATACTTCCTGGCAGCAAATGCAAGAACCCGCTGGCGAGATCGACCCTCCTCATCAGAACCTGTTACACTGTTGATCAAGTCCATGGCAGGATCATTCTCTACATGTTGCTGTGGTGTACTCTCTTGACTGAATTAATAAGAGGAAACACAAAACTGTTAGTACTTCCTAACTAGTTTTAATGAATGATTAGTGCAGGAGAAAGAGTTGGCATTGTAGCAAAGAGGAAAGCAATCCAAGAGGATATTTAAAAAATGTTCAACATAAAAGCATCAACAAAGCTCAGATTTGTAACTAACTTGAAAACCATGGTCAAGGAAGGGTTGCACAAACAAAATTGTTTGATAAAATTTTTCGAAAAAATGAACATGTTAGGATCGCATCTAATCTCTTCAAAAACTAGAAAATGCGAAGCCAATTTGAAATAAGAATTTCACCTAGGAAAGATAGTGCAAGTGACAAAGAGTTGACACCATAGCAAGGAAGAACACAATCAAAGAGGGTATGATACTTAAAAAGTACACACAAAAATATCAACAAAGCTCAGATTTGTAACTAACTTGAAAAGCTTGGTCAAGGAAGAGTTACCTAAACAAAACTATTCGATAAAATTTTGAAAAAACTGAACATGCCCCAATCCGCATATGATTTCTCCAAAAACTGGAAATGCAAAGCCAATTTGACATACGAATTTCACAGAGGATCAAATGCTACCATCCTCAAAAACCATATTTATATGAGATCTAAACCCTTCCGGTGAGTCTATCAGTATCTCCTAGCAAGCAATTACGAATATCCTAGCGACAAGATTAAATTTTAGAAACAAGAGGAGTAAGAAAAGAAAAAAGGAAACTAAACATCCATCAGTAGAAACACAAACCTGTAAGGAGATACGGCAGAATCCTGAAGGCTCTCATCTCCTTCGTCGCTTTTCAGTTCATTGAGTAACTCTCTCATTGTGAAAGTCCGGCTACCTTCGTCTTTTCGCAGCTCAGGGCGCGTAGTTTGCCCCGAGGTGGGAACGTCGTCGACCGCATTTAATTGGATCGAGGTCTCTCTGGATTGCTCCTCATTTGATTGGATCGAGGTCTCTCTGTGTTGGTCTGGCTTGTGATCTGCAGCTCTTGCCTCTGTTTCTGGTTCAGGTTTTTCTTCTGCTTCGGGTTTTGGTTGCTCTATATTTGGTTCTAATTGCGATGTCGTAATTTGATCGGGTCCTGGTTCTGGTTCTGGTATGACTCCATTTTGCAACTGAGCTTCTTCGGGAATCGTGGACATTGCAGACGAAAATGAATTTTTCTCTGGAAATTCAGATGCTGGCCACTGCTTCCGCCCCTAAGTTTGAGTTATGACTGGTTTAAAGGAAAAGGAGAAGGGACATATAACCAGGGAGATCTGTTTAGACGAATGTAATCAGGCGAGTAGAAAAAAGCGAGAGAGAGAGAGAGAGAGAGAGAGAGAGGGGTTTGGAAAAAAATTAAATTAAATTACAATTTTAGTATATAAACATTAACCAGTTTAGCAACTAGTACATTTTAAAAATTTTCATTTGTAGGTCAATAGTATTTAATTTAACGGATTTATTTTAGTTTATTGGCGATGATTAAATTAATTTTTTTCACAAATTATTATAATTTTAACAAAAATAACATTATCTATTACCTTTTAAATTAAAATAATTAGAATGATTATTTCTAATCTATTTTTTATATCAAAAAAATTATAAGTGAGATGGTACCTATATCTACATTTCCGTGTTAATATTTTTTCCAATTTTAAAATAATATATTTATATTGGTAAATTTTGATATATTTTCATGTCATTATATATTTAAAATTCATATAAACATTAATAAATATATACCACGGGAAATTTATCAAATAAATAACTTATTTTGCAATATATCTAAAGGTATAGTTATTGAATTCCCATTTGAATTAAGTTTAAATTTTCTGAATTAAATTTGAATGGTAAAATTTAGAATATAGTTTATCTATCCAAATTTGTAATTATTTATATATAATTTTAAAAAATATATATTAAAATTTTTATATTAATGTTATAAATAACTAAAAATACTTATTTTAAAATAAATTGTGTAATTATTTAATCTTAAAATTAAATAAAAATATGCTACTTAAAAATTAGTTCAATAAATTGTAAAATTGGAAAGAATTATGTAATTCATTATCAAATTCTAATATTCACTTAAGTTCACGAATGATTCAATTATAATAGTAGAATTGCTATCAAAGCCTAAATTTGGTTATAAATTATAGTATTACATTATATTGTCTGCATCTAAGAGTTTTATGACGACTTGTAGTCCCACTAAGGCACTATAGTCGTCAGGTACCGACTAAATTAAATAATTAGTCATTCACAGTACATAAAAATACAAATCTACATAATTATTTATCCCTTATATAGTTATAATATCAAATGACAATACATGAGGCAACAAAATTCTATATATTCAAAACTAAATATATACACTACCCGTACAAAGCATAATATGAAAATTTTAATTTAGGTACTACTATTCATCTTTCTAATCTGAAAAAGATTAGAATTTGAATAGGGTAAGCAATTTCAATGTGTTCAATAAGTATAAAAAATAACTAGGCTCTAGGCATGCAGCATACAAATCATACAGATATTCATATATGTAAAACTTTTCTTTTGCTTTTTATTTGAAAACTCCAAAGATCAGTGTAATTTCATAAATTTCTAAATTTTTCCTTTTTACTTTCTCTCTCATCTAAATCTCTTAAGCTTCCTCTTTTCCTTACTTCTATCTTATTAGTAATTTACTATTACATTCCCATTTTATCATATTTTATCCCTCACTACCTTTCTTCCTATTTATCCCTCAGTATCCCCCATCAATTTATCCCTCAAAATTCTCTTAAATTCAACGTATTCCTCGAAATCCCCTTAAATCACATTTTATCCCACTCTTTCAATATATCTCTCAATATCTCTTTAGGTTCATTTTATCCCTCAGATTCTTCCCAAGCTAAACTTTTCCTTCAAATCAATATACCATAATTTTCTGTAAATTTTTGGTCGAATCGAGACATCCGTAGCCCCTCACAAGTATCTCCGATTCTCGATTTGTCCCAATCCAATCACAATATTAACATTATTAAAATTTTATAGTTTTTTTAAATATTGAACATGTGTTCGTTATTCAATTGATATTATTGTGGGATCAGAATTCTCACTATCACAAGGAGATGCACATACAAACAAGATATGCACATTGGTCAGAGCAATCTGTCGTCAGGTGACTTAGAACAGAACACACTTCCCAACCACGTCTAGAAATGATATCATCCAACCAAGGATAGGGTTCACCACGCTGCTGAATTTCAGGCATACAAATCTTAAATGAGTTATCTCTAAGTTCATTATTTGCATTATTTTCTTTTCTTCCTATTCTAGTTAAAATTGATTTTTTTTTCACATTTTAAAATTCGACACATCCTTCTCAACCTTTTCTAACAAAATCATTCTTCCCTCATTCTCTAACTAAATCTTATCAATCTTGATATTTTATTTTATTATTTGCATTTTTACTTGTTAATATTAGTTTATTTTGTGTAACTCTTTGTGATTTAAGGATTAAATTAGTTAGTATTTTATCGCCAATATTTATTATCTATTATTATTGCTTTATTCTATTTTTATCAACTTGATGCATTTTATTTTTATTTTATAATTCTTTTAAGTCTTATTCATCAATTCTTTTGCCTAATTCCTAATTCACTCCCTAATTTTTCCACAATTGACATTCTACTTCATATTTTATTTCATTGTAACTTAAATTATATCTATTCAATTCTCCTAACATGTTTAGAGATAGACAAAAATACAATCGAGCATTCACAATCATCAACAAACAAATACTTATAAAAACTTTAAAAATCACTAAAATTCTATTTTCAAACCACATCACCCTTACCTGTTTGCATGCTCTTAATTTCATAAAATTATAATGAAACATTTTTAAAAAATGATTATATGAAGGCTTCTAGTTGGTTACTAATTATACTTACATACTTTGGAGCACAATGATTCCAATTTGAGCTCCAAAAATCATCCCAAAATTAGAAGAAAACTTGCACAGCAACTACATCTTCTCGGATTAGTGATGAACCCAAAGTTTCATGGAATCATATTGCATGCTCGTCTCGTTTCTACTACTACTCTAGTTACTAAGGCATTCGATCTCATTTAAATCATATTTCTATATTCAACATCTAATTTTCTTATCTTATATATTATATTCAAAATAAAATTTATTAATTTGTTTACATATTTATTAAATCAAAATAATTTCCATAAATTATTCATTTTACTATTTTAATTTACCTTTATGTAATTATTATAAAGCATGACTAAATTAATGTTGAGGCCCGAAACCTTAAAAAAAATGAATTTATAATTTAAATATGGAAGCGAATAATAAACGTTAGGGTTTATATTCCTTACACAATAAATTGAATTGCTCAATAGGGCTACG